CTAGTTGTGAGGGGTTCCCAGAGTCCTGAGCTGGAGCCAGGACTGAAGTCCTGAAGTCCTGGGACAGATTGCCAGCTGGCACAGCTCTGGGAGGGGCTGACCTAAGGGAAGCAGCCTGGCATGCTTGGGCTTTCTAGCTGATAAAGCATGTCAGTCTTAGGCAGACATTGAAGGCTGCAAGACTCAGCTATTCAGAAAATGATCTGCTGATGTTCTCAAAATGAAAATATTTTCTACATAGCTAGTTTGCAGGGCATATTTTAGAAATTATTTGGCTCTGTTGCAATTTAGATAAGTTGTTAAAAAATAATGTGGACTAACCCTTATCATGAATAATATGAAATTTCTTGCTCATCTGAAAATCCTACTTTTTAATTGCTGCAAAAGAAAGATTTAATCTTCAAAATCTTGAGTTGATTCTCTCAAGAATTTTAATTTCTGGCATAGATTAAGTCTTTGTGCCCCTCTACTTTGTGTCTGTTTCATGTATTGTGCCTACATGTGAACGTATTTGTGATTATATTCACAAGTTTTTCATTTGGCTGCAGCAAGCTGTGACCACAAGAGGGTAGAGCTGCTCAGAGAATTAGCACTAGTACTGGATGAGCAAATATCCAGTTTTATTTTAAATTTATTTTTTATTTTATTTTTTTTTAATTTAAATTTTTGAAAATACAGATAAATAAATACAACTTTATTTCTCTCCTGAGTTAGAGGGGAAGAGAGGAAAACAAGTGCTAGCACATAAACCAGAAAGTGTATGTAGGGATTAATGGGTTTGGTGATTGGAGATCTGGGGAATGCTGCAGTGGCAGAGAATGTGTAGGGAGCTGCAGCTTTTCTGTTGGACTCCATGGGAATGGGAAGGAACTGGGAGTAGCACACAAACATGGCAGACATGGAGTGAGTCATAGTATTGCGTGAGGGGAACAAGAGATCCAGTCCTGTACTGGTAGAGTGAAATTGTACTGGCCAAAAATGATGAAAACAGGATAGAGACACCAAGAGAGCAGCCTCCCCTTGAGAGCAAAATGCCATCTGATGACCTCAGCCTAGGCACAAAGCCATAGGAAACAATGCATCATGGACTGTGCTGCTCAGAGAACAATTCAATTTTCTTAGTACTATGGAGAAAGTAGAAATTAATTCTACTGCATTGCATCTGTGCTCCAGGGTATGTAGGAATTTGCAGTTGTAACCCAGTGAGGGGGATAATTCTGCATGAGGTCATACAAAACAGCCTGGCAGCAGAAAATGCAGATGCAGAGGGAAGAGTAAAACTAATAAATCCTTTGATACTGGAATTCAAGATGCTTGAAAAAGAGAAAAGCTGTAACATGTAGTGCATAGAGATGTGTTAGGATTGCATAATGTCTTTTTTTCTTCCAAAACCAAACTGACTCCAACCTGCAGTTAGACTTGGGAATATCCTTCCCCCAGAGACCTCCAGAACTGAGGTGAAATGGGCTTCCTGGTAAAACTGTTGCAGGAAAATGGATATAAAAACTCTAGCAGGGTTTTTATATGGTGAGGAAAGGTATTTGTGATCTCTGCCCCAAAGGAAATCTGAGATGAAGACAAATAAACCCAAGTCCTACGTGAGAAAGGTGTTCTTAGACTAGTATCTGTTACCAGAAAGATTTGAGTCAGTATGAGGCCAGTTTGGTTTACAGTGGTGATGTGAAGTAGGCCATGTTGTTACTTAATTTCATGCAGTATGAACTAGTAGTGTTATGGAGATTTGACAAATTAAACACAAGGTATGTCCAGTAGAACAGACAGTACAGCTTTTGAGGGTAGACTCTGCTTGCAGATTGTTGCCTTTCTAAAGGAGCAAGCCACAGAAAAAAAAAAACCACCTTGCCTGTGAGGAAATGAGGAAGCTTTTCATGCAAATTGGCAAGGAAATACTTCATAAAATGAAAATCCCTTGTTGGATTTGAAGAAGGGTTTGTTAATTGGTCGGTCCAGGTCTTTGAGAATTCACAGGAGTGTTAAAAAGGCAGGGCATAGGTTCACTGTGGGTATGTGGGTAAAAGCATCTACCTCATACTTCTATTCCAGTGCAGCTTCAAATGTGGAAATGTGATTGGTACCAGGTGTAAAGAGAACTGAAACACAGGGTTTGGGGGTTTGGCTTGTCTGTGTTTAACTCTGACATTTTTCTGTTCTTCATTTTAGCTACTGAAGTTGACAATGAGGATTCAAGGGTGGTTCATGAACCTGGACAACCACCTTCTTCCCCAGAAGAAACAAGCAGAGACCAACTTGTACACTCTAAACAGTAAATGGGCTGGAGAAGAGCTGAGAGCAGGCAGCACTATTTTCCTTTCTGAGGAGAGTGTTAGTTAATGAGGGCTGAGTGACACTTAGTCACCGAGCAGCTGAACACAACACTAGATGCTAGAAGGGGCTTAGTCCCCTGCCTCTCTTTATGATCATGTTAGAGCTACCAGGCTCACAGCTCTGCCTCCCGAGCACTGTAAAGCCCACGTTCCTAGAATAGGTTTTCCAGTGGAAGCAGCAAATGATTATGACTCTGAATTTGTTCCTTTGCTGAGGTTACATGGCTCCCTGACCTTGGAGTGAGGTCTCTGAGCTGTGTGCATTCTGCAGCATTTTCATGTTCATGACAGAAGTCAAAAAGGTGTTGTTTGTATCTCTTTGCTTTAAAGGAAATCTGGTTATGAATGTTATGGAAGAGTTAAGTGATGTGGAGCCTGAGGACTGAGGGAAAGAGGATGGGAAGACAGCCTGCCTTGCTGATGAACTTGGCTGCCTAAGAAGATGATTGACTGGATTCAGCAGGGTAAGGGAACAGTAGGTGCTGGTCCAGAAAGGCACGGCAAGAACGTGTGGAAAGGCCTGGTGCCCCCACACTGTTTTATGGGTGAACTGCCTTTAAGGTGTTCAGGCTGGGGACAAACTCGATTTGGAATCACCTCTTGTCACACAGGCTTCACATCTGACATTTGGAATGTCCTTGATGATTTATACATGATTTCAATGTTGTTGAACTTGTGACAGCTGAAACTAAACAGTGCTGTTTGTTTCTGAGGGGCTCCTGTAGACAGCTTTATCCATGTGTATTGGGAGAGCACTGTGGCGTATCAAAGGTGTGGAGAGATTGCCCAGGAAACTGGGACAGAACACCATTTAGAATAATAATTACTCAAATCCATACATACTATGATTTTCAGCGATGACCTTTAATTAAAAATGAATTAATTAAACATTCCTCTGCTGTTTTGCCTAGAGGAGTTGGTTTTGTACTAAGTGCATCAGTTGTTAATGTTTGAATAATTAGGGTGGGACTTTTGTATAATTAAAATGATACATTAAATTGTTGTTACAGTTTGATGTGTGTGTGCATGTATTTTTTCCTAGTCAAATGTCAGATGTTGCCCTGAACAGCTCTGTGTAAAAAACTTGTCTGGAGAGAGATTTAGGCCTCAGTATTTTTCTTCTATAATGTCTGTCTGCTGCTGTAGAGGTGAGCACAGTAAAATAAACAGACTTTTCTGCTACTTGTATTAATAATCCCTTGCTCAATGCAAGAAGTAAAGAAACTATACTAAGCTGAACATTTATCTTTTTGTTTAATGTAGTAGATGATCTGCTGGAATGCTTTGCAGCACACAGTGTTTTGGGGCTGAAGTGAAAGTGGCAAATTTAGAACTGCCCAGAGGAAAACCAGAAAAATGAATATATCCATAGCAAAGAATCTAATGTACAGCTTGTTATGTAGTAGATTTACAACAGGATCTTTGCTCCCAGCAGTGTCCCAAACCTGCTCTTAAAACTGCTGTCTGCTTGGGAAAATCTGGATACTTTTCAAAATAAAATAATCTGCAAATAGAAATACCAGCAGCGCCCACAAAGCAGGTTCCTCTGCAGATGGTTTGTTTTTTATAATATAATGATTTAAGAAAATAATAATGTACAGTATGAATAGTTGAACAGTCTCCTTCCCAGATATTTTTCTAAAGTCATATTCAGTGTTGTATTACTCCTTAAATCTCAAAGCAAGGTGGAGTCCAGCCCATTCCACCGACTGTTGCACAGTGATTGTAGATACGCTGCATATACAGCACTGTTTGCTCTCTGTTTTACTGGGCCAGTGACTGCTTCCAGATTGCCAACCCAAACTCCTTATTTTCCTTGTCCTCCATCTTTCTGAACTGTTGGGGATGAACCAGAAGGCTCTACTTTGCCTGTTGGAAGGATGGGATGGCACTCCAGGAGGGTCTCTCTCACTGCACTGCTGCAAAATGAGTGGGAATCTCCAGAGGGATGTAGCAAGTTTAAGGAAGAGCCAGTGAAACTGGCAACTAAACTGAACAAGGAGATGGAGGAGTTGATTACCAGGGGAGTCTAAAAACAGAGTCTTCAGTTTGGGGAAGAGAAAGTTGAGGGGGGATATGACTTGGTTTTAGAACATCATGTTGGCTGTGGCAAAGTAGCTGTAAAACCAGTGCCAAACCTTGGTACTCCCCTACAGCTGAAGGACGAGGGGAAGCAGGGGCACAGGGGGGAAGGATGTCTGAGCAGCCTGGTTGTCTTCTGCAAGGAAAGGATGGACTTCTAGCCCAGACTAAAGTCTTAACAGTTACAGCTGGTTTTCCTACAGCATTGAAGTGAGGCCAATCCTGTTTAATATGCATAATCATATCATCAGTCAAATTTTGGTGTAATTTCAGACTTCCACATTTTAGGAAATTAGTCCCTGAGTTCTTGCACCTATCCCTGCGTGGGAAAGTAAAGGATTTGGTAAGAGAATTAAAGTGGGTAACTCTGCAGCTGACAGGATGAATTATCTTATGTGGATTATTCAAGGTTTCATTCTTCCATTTTGTGCTCAGATTGTCCTTTTTAACCAAGGAAAAAGTGTTCCTTGACAACTGGTATTGTCATACTGTGCATTTAAGGACTTCAAAGTGAATAATTTTAATTCCAAACTTAGTGCCAACCAGTGTTTCCAATAATTAAACTCTCTGATCTCTTCTGACTCCATTTATTTAAATAAATGACTTAAGGGTAATGAAATCAATTTGGATTGAAATGGAATGATTTGGATTAGTCAAGTCACTCAGAGGTTGTTCCAGCCTAAATCATCCCAGAATTTTATTGGTTTTTGTTAAGGCTGAAGCCACATAGTCTTTGGTCAAATTAATAAAACTTGGGAAGGAAAAGGAAAGGATGCCCGCTTCTGAAATCTTTCTGCATGCAAACTGCTACTGGTTGCAGTAGGAAATCTACATCTAGCACTTGTCACCATTATAATTTTCAGATTTCTGAGGACTCACTCCCTTGCTGCACAGGTCAGAACTTCTGTAGATGTGAGTCCTAACACCTGACATTTCTGGCAATCCTCTGTCCTCACTGCAAGTCCCTGGGTCATCGTAGAGCCAGAAGCTCTTGTTTGTTCCCTGAAGGGGAAAACGTGGAATTAGGAGCCAGCTCCTTAATGTCTACTCACACCACTAATTTCATTTCTTCAGTGGAATTACTTGTGAGGGTGCAGAGTGGACAGCGTTAGTTAAGTATGCAAGTTTTCATCCGAATTTATCCAGAGGTGTCTGTGACACTGTCCAAAACCTTATTGTGGATTTGCATTTTCTGTAGGAGCTTTGGAAAAACGAAAACAAACCCAAGAGATTCTAGAAGGATCATGTAATATGTCCTTTTTGCAAACATATGTAGGATTCATCTGTCATTCCCCTGCAGCAGACTGCTCTATGTTAACACTTGTGGTATCGGCTTCTACATCTGGACTGAAGCAGGTTTTCATATGACAGTAATTATAATACTCTTTCTAGGTTTTTTTTTTCTTATTGGAATTAGATGCACCCGGTTGGAAACCTCTGAATCCACAGCAAGACTATAGCTGCTTTTTCCACATTAATGAGTAATTAATTTTGAACAGCAATCCAAAGAAATATTTAATTGCTTACCAATAAAGTCAGCTTGCTGCAAAGAAAAATTTCCCTCCCCTTAAAAAAATAGTTTTTATGACAGAAGAATTCTTTATGATGTGAAACATACCTATTTTGGAACAGTGAAAACTTCAATTAAATCATTCTTTCGGGCAAGTGGGTCTGGTTTTCCCATCTTTTGCCTAATATTTTACTACTGCAACATTAGCATTAGTCACAGAGTTATGTCTCTGCTTAGCTTGCCAGAACGTAAGGGTGAAATTCAAATGCAAAGAAAGACTTTGTGGAAACTATTCCTGAAATCAGAGAGGGACTGCGTGTTTTATTGTAGCCCAGGCCACTGAGAGAGCTCCAGATGCCACACGGATGCCCAGGCAGTGATGTGTCCATACACACACCTTTGAGTTTTACTTTCCTGTATCCTTATGGGTACAACGAGTAGGCTTGGCTTGGACAGTTCTGAAAGAGCCCTCACCCAAACCAGAAGACTTACTTTGGCTTTACTTTGGTATTACTTTTTTTTACAGTGGGTAACATTTTCCTCTTGTTTCTTCTTGCTGGCCTTTCCCACTGGCTGTTGGATATTGTCCTCAGCCAGGCAACGTTAGTGGGAAACTTGCTCCTTATCCCATGGGGTGATCCCCTATGCATCTATTTGTGATCTCACGCTGTTTTCGCTTTATTTTATGCAACCACCTTTAGTGGAAGCATTTCTGGTTTTATTTACTAATTACTGTCAGGGTTTTATAGTCTTACTGGTACAATCTACTCGAAAGAGCCCATAAGCTACAGCAAATACAAAACATTTCTTTTTACAAAACATTTTTTTTTTTCACAAAATGTGGTTTAAATAACAGTCGTAGGCATAGTTCCCTGGGAGAACCTTCCAATTTTTTCATGACAGGCTCTGTTTCCTATTAAGAAACGTGTTCTTTTGATCAAGGTGCAAATCGACTGTTTCTCATGCTCTTCCAACACTAAATATACACTTATTTCAAGACATTCAGAAGCTTCATGTACCTGCAGATGGCTGATTTTTTACATCCCCTTCCTCATGGACTACCTCACGTTGTGAAATGGCTTCTTTAGTTCTTGATGTTCCTCAGTCCTGGGAATACAAATTCTTCCTGCCCATCTCCAAAGGCACACACAAAAGGCTGGTGATCTCATATCCCAGAGCTGCCCCGATTTGTGGGAGCCCACACCTGCTTGGTTCACCTTCCTTATTGTCTGTCCCAGGCTGCAGCTGTGCTTTGTTTTCCCTCATAACACTTGGCAGTGGTTTTTTATGGCCAGTGTGCAACGATGGCATACAAATGAATCAGAGAGCCAAACCTCCAAAGAAAATTAAGAGAAACAACAAATCGCACCTAAAGAAGCAAAGCACCTGGGGTACTCAAAAGAGAATACTATGGAGGAAGATGAGCTCTTGTTTCCTTGGAGCGTCGGGAGGGATTTACAGAGGAGAAGGAGCGGGGAGGAGAAGGAGCGGGGCCGGCCCTGCACTGGGGGCGCTGCTGAGGCCGCGGTGATGGCGGCGCTCCCGCCTCGTGAGGCACCGGACCCTCAGCTCTGGCGGGTCCTGTCCAGGCTCCTTGTGGGCGCCGGTCCCCCCCCCTTTCCATGGGGAAAGGAAATGTTCGTTCACGCCACAGATCAAACAGGTAAAGGCTCTGGTTTTGAGGGAGTGATTCCCTTGAAATTCCCCAGCGTGTCGCGCGGGCGGAGGTTCGAGCAGAGCGCATTATATGGGGCTGCTGGATTGCCCCATATAATGCACCTGCCTTACTGCAGCCCTGGCGGTGCTGAGGGGAAAACCTGCATGGAGAAGGTCATCCTGTATTACGCTGGTGTTTGTTCACCGGTGCAGAGCAAAACCTCACCCACAACGCTCCCAAGAAAGGGGTTCGCCTGTGCCAGGAGGGGGGTGGTGGCAGGAGGGGAGTTCGCCACAGCTCTTGTACAGCAGGGCTTGGGAGTTCCCGGAACGCTTCGATCTGCTTGTGCCCGGAGAGGCCGAGGGAGCTTTGTGTGTGTTGGCTCAGTCATGTTGCACATTTCTGTGTAGTAGCTTAACTTAAACGTGTAACTTTCATCAGTGGCTATATCTAAGTCCTTACTGAAAAGGCCAAGTTCAGGCTAAAGGCTTACATAGTAAGTAATAACTACAATTTAAAATCAAGTTTTGGAAGGCATATATGGCACTGGCTTTCACAGTATAAACCAGGCCTGTAAACATGTTACCCATACTTAATGCACCTTTATACTTGATATCCATTTTAAAAGTTCTTGCTTTCAGACTATTTTTACCATTTGAGAAGTCAAAAAGAAAAAAAAACCACCAAAACCCAAACCCAACAAAAAACCCATGTAACTTAAAAACAGGAAACATTTAAGACTTAAGCCAAAATACCTTTATTTTTTTAAGTAATTGAACACAGTTATTCGTGGCTTTGGGTTCCTTGGACCTAAATTTAGCTATGATGGATTTTTGGCCCTAATGTCAGCCCTGTGAGACTTGTGCTTATTCATGCTGAACTTCTTCAGTCTGAGACGATGCAAGGTCAAATGAAATCTGACTCTTTCGGACCAATTTATGTCTTTACCGTGCTTCTTACTGGCTAAACTAATTTGGTTTGTTTACACCAGCTTCCAAGTTCAAAAGTGAAACTTTAGAAGAAGACAGTTAACCAGTGGAACAGATTGCCAGCAGTGTGGTGTGAATTTTCCATTACTCTCAGTCTAAAACAAGCAAGTTTCTCTAGAAAAAATGCAGGTGGGTTGTGTTGAAGAAATTCCAGTGAAATGTCTGTTTGTGCAATAGATAGTCCAAATTGCTCTCGGAGCCACAGAATAGACTGGAGCTCAGGAAGGCACTTGCCTTCTAGGGTAACCAACTCTCAATCTGTCTGGTGAAAGGACCTAATATTGTAAGAAAGGTCACTGTAGGCAAGAGATCGTTGTGCTGTGAGGACTGTCCATTTGTTTCAGTATGATTGTGTTACCTTCAGTTTAAGGCTCTGTTTTTGAGGACCTCTCTGCATGAGAGTTACAGGTATTTATATAGTAATATAAAGAAATTAACTTCTTTGTGTAACTGTAGGAAAAGGATCGGTCAAAGATATTTTTATACCAAGTTTCTAGATTTCCCCTTCTAATCTCAAGCTTGTCAAATTGATTAGTGAGTATTACAGTGTTTAAATCATGCAGATTCTAAGTAGACATTAAATAAGCTAGCTCTTAGTGGGTGATTCATGGGACAGGGTGCTGTAGCAGTTGAAGCTGAGTCAGGAAGGCTTTGTTCAATACCTGACCTTGGGCCCACTGAGTAAACTCAAGCAGTTAATTCTCTTCTTGCCCCGGTTTTGTCAAATCAGTGGTTTTACAGACCTTTTTTGGACTTGAAATGTTTGCAAAATGATGTCTGAGAGCTGTTTGAATTATAATCCCGTGGAAGTACAGCCTGTGTACAGATCTGGTTTGCATGATGTCTCCAGTGCTAGTGTTCTAGAGCAGCATGTTATAACTACGGCAGTTCTAAAGTGTGGGGTTTTTTCTCTTGAAGGTATAAACCTCCTTGCTAGAAAAAGGGCGTTTTGTTTTCAGACTTCAGTGAGAGAATGAAGACATGAAGAACCTTTGCAGAAAAAGAGCTAGAATGTATCACAGTGGAGTGGGATCTCCAGCATGGAGACCTAGAGGAAATGGCAGTAGCTCAGAGCTTAGGAAGACCCAGTGGGGAACTTGTAGCAGACACACAGACTTACTTAGGATTGGTCATAATTCAGTTTTCACTTAATGTATTTCAAATGTGATTTCCTACATTTTGTCTTCTGATACATTCAAGCACAGCAGTTCTACAAGATTCACTTTGTCCATACCAGACTTTGTACCCTTAAATATAAATCTTCTACATCTGACTAATAGAGAGCCTCAGTTGAGAGAAATAAATTTGATGGAAAAACTAGAAAGTTGCAAAGAAAATGACTGTGGTTGGAAGGCTAGTGTTTCACCCAGTTGATTTAGTTCCTTTTGGAAAGATGTGCAGTGAGAGGCAACAAAAACACAGGCTAGCTCCCAAAAATGCAGTGAAATTGTACATTGAACTGTGATTGGAATTCAGAGTCAGAACCTTGCAGGATGTTCATTCCGTGGAAGAAAAGCAACATGTGATCCCAAAAGCAAAACCGTGAGTATCTCTGGCAAAGGACAGTGTGTGATGTTTAGCTAGAATATCCCAGCAGTGCCACTCTGGAATGAAAATTCAAAAAAACTTATCATTTTCAATAGGATCCTTGTTAAAAGCATAAAACACTCATGATGATGTTGAAGGAGCAGTTTCTCAGTAGGAGCAGGAATGAGTCACTGTTTGGAAAACACATGCAGAACTGATGCAGTCAGAAGTACCTGACTTGGGTATAAGTGAGCTACATCTTGTCACAGAATCACGAAATAGTTCAAGTTGGAAGGGATCCTTTAAAGGTCATGTAGTCCAACCCTCCTGCCATGGGCAGGGGCATCTTCCACTAGAGCAGGTTGCTCAGCAAGTAGAATAATCAAACTGTGTTGAGAGGGGATAATCTGTAGGTTTTGAGTGACTGGTGATAAAATTGTTCAGCCTGAGCAGTGACTGAAATGAAGAGGTCAGACTGACATCTTTCTCTAGGGATAATTTCTGGATCATCAGAAGTTAATTTTTAATTCTCCACAAAGTGCTGTACCCTCAGGTAATACTACCTGTGTGAATAGGTACTGCGTGTATTAACATAACCAAGCTCATGTTTGAGAGGCTGGTTTTAGTATCCTGATTGGGAAAATAAGATCTTTTCCGATAGCATTTTTCATGGATGTGTGAGCAAGATCAAATAGCAAACAACCTGCTAAAGGAAGTAAATTCAAAGCTGTAATTTGTAGTTTATAGATACATTTTTTTTTAGCCTGTCCCTTCTACTTACCCCTTTGTAATAAGTGAGGCTACAAGGGAGGATGCAGGAAAATGCATTCAGAAGTTTGGAGTTTAACCTGTTTGGGATTGCTAACAGATTCACATTTGACTGCAGAGAAGCCAAACCTTTAATTTTGCCTTTTTTTTGTTTGTTTGTTTTGCTTGAATGTGATGAAACCTGAAAACCCATATGGAAAATATGGGTTCCTCTGAAGGGAATGTACAGAAATATTACTGATGTGTCCCTCAGCACTCTTTCTCTGCCCTCCACTCCTCTTACACGTGCATGTTGCTTATTCTCTTAAACAGGTGAGGACTTGGCAGTTTCACGAGCCTGACAAAAATTCCACAGTTAAATTAATAATAAAAGCCAATTTCTTCAATAATTAATCACAAGAAACACTGGCATTTCTCTGAGAAGACTTTTTCTCAGCTAAAGAGAAATGTGTAACGCAGATTTCCCAAATGCAGAACGAATTTTCATTGCAATGTGCTTCTATTTTAAATTTTGGACATTTGTCCATGACCCTCTTGTCAATTGAACACTCTGGAATATTTTGTCAGGTTTTCCAGCATTGTTGAACTGAGTTAAAATGTAATTGACTAAAAACAAATAGAACAAGCCCCTCATCTAATAAATGTCAGTTCATGCTGACTGGAAAGAAAACACCTTGTTCCTGCCCTGTGACCCCGGTGCTTGTGTTAAAGCACAAAGTCTCCAATCATACAAGTGGAACATAAAACCTTTCACTGTTCACTTTCTCCGTGTAACCAAGCAGGTATGTGGGAGTGTGGGCAATATAAGAGGCTGGCTTTCTGTTTATGTAGGAATTTGATAGTGCATCTCACAGAGTAGCCTGGTAAAGGCTCAGCCAAAGATAAGGCTCGTTACTGATGAGCACATGGATCAGATCCTATAGAGTACCTGAAGTTAAAGACTGGTCTGGACTTGGGCATTCTGTGTGGAGCACAGGGCAGACATCCCTCTGCTGATGGTGGCCAGCGCTGTGGCTCCTGAGCTGGCAGAATTCTGCCTGACTCGGTGTGCAGCCCTGCCCTGCTTGTCAGCCCTGCTCAGAGACCTGCACCTTCCTGCAGAGCACTCCTGAACTCCTCGTGCAGCACTGGAGTGGTCCTGTTCTTCAGGAGACATCCTGGAAGATGATGGCCATGATAACGATATGGTGATAGATGAGCCGTGACTGGCATTGCTGTGGAGACCCTCTCCCTTCCAGGGAACTTTGTGCTCTGCCATACATTGGCACAGCAGTGCCTGTTCCTGCCTCTTGTCTCTTCTTCTTTGGAAGTCTATGTAAGTAAGTGTTCACGCCCTCTTTTAGTTTATAGTCGGTCTTTGGAGACCAAGTGGTTGCAAAGAAATCCAGAAAGAGGGGCTGGTTACAGCTGTATTGAAGCACTTCAGGAGCATACTGATGAGCAGAGGATGAAACCCCAGATTTGTAAGTGAGGATTAAACAAATTAAACTTTCACTGTGAGTATCTTCTGTTCTTGGGTTCAGCGTCCCTCTCCAGAATCCTTGGTGTCGCAGCGTAGTGGCAGGCAGGTTAGTTTGCCCTCTTGCTGGCAGCAGGGGATGTGTCAGTCCCGTAGGTATCCTGCTGCTTGCTTTTCCAGTTTCCCTCTCAGTGTAACTCACTGCTTCCAAGCACAAGCTCCCGACCTTCCCTTGTGCACCCTGCCTTGTTGCGCGCTTTCTCCTGTGCTTTGCACTTTCTGTTTAGACAATAAAAGGACCGAAGGGAAAACAATGTTTCTTTATGTTAGAAGTGCGGCAGCCTCACATGTCAATATTTCTTTTCCCCCTATGCACTCTGACTTCGTTTATTTTTTTAAACACTTTGGCTTCTTTTGAGGAGATTCGAGTTCCAGAGCAAACCAGTTTGCACAATGTGCTCAGCTTCGTGTTACACTGAACTGATCGCATTTGTTATGTCTACCAGCTGATAGAGTTTTCTGAAAATATTTAGCCTGTAATGTAACCCTCCCTGGTCTTCTGTTTTTATTGCAAACATGCAATTAATCACCCTAATTGTTCCAATTACCCAGAGGCCCAAGTGATTATGATTAAAAAAAAATAAATAAATAAAGATAATGATGGCATGGTGTGGCTGTAGGACCGAGATGAACACTCAGCACAGCCCAGGAATCTTCTGCTGGTTCTTTTATGTCTGGGGCGATGTCCTGGATGTGGCTTGATGCACGTGCTGGCTGTCACATAATCCAGCCTGGATAATCCATGCCTTTCTCCCTCCAAAACATTTCCCCATTTGGCACTACCAAAAAGTGTAAACTGACAAATGACTGCATGGGAAAAAGCTGAGGAAATAAGTGCACATTGGCCAAGAAAATTATGTTTAAGAAACATTAGAGCTGTCACTTGCATCAAAAAGAACCAGCATCATTTAGAGGTCACATATATATATATATATGAATAATTCTAATTCCTGAATATATCTGCAACCAAAATAAAAACCAAAATGCTGTTTCTGTTTTTTGTAAATTAAAACCAGTGCAGATTTTCTCCCCTCCAAATAATTCTCATGCTAGGAGTTTGAGTCTGTAATAAGTTTCGCTTGTTTGGCATATCCTCTGGCCCACTTAGAAAATCCTTGGAAATGGTTCTAAAAGTAATGTCCAAACACAAACCTATGAGCAGTGATCCTGGTTGGTGTGCCAGGGATTGCTCTGTGCTTCCAAGACTTCTGGAAATCTCCACAACTACTCTGACCAGCTCTGGGGAAAATAAAGCCAGCCATGGTCTGAACTTCTTCTCTTTAGAAGGAAATGGTGTTTTAATGTTCCAGAAAAG